CTCGCAGCACTCCAGCCAATCCTCCACAGAGCTGTCGCCATCATCGCTCTCATAGGTGGACTTTTGCTCGCCGCTGCTTTCCTCCTCCTGGTGCGAGGCCTTGTGGGATGTGTAGTCCAGGTAGTCCTGGAACTTCAAGGGACAGCGCAGACACTTGTACCAGCGATCCCGTACATGGGTGACCATGTGCTTCTTCAGCGTGGAGCACTCTCGGAATGGCTTGCGGCACTTGGTGCAGCTGAACGGCTTCTCGCCCGTGTGGATCATGTAGTGGCGCTTGAGGTTGTGGCGCGTTCCAAATGGTCGGTGGCACAGTGGGCAGGGATAGGAGCGGCGACTCCTAGTGGGTCTCGCCGGGTGTGCTGTGGCTGTTCCGTCATTGCTCAGGGACGAGGATGAGTTGGCGCTGCTGCAGCTGAGTGGCAGAGGTGGACGTGCTGCTGGCTGTATTGGCGGTGGTGCAACGACCTCTGGGGCAGGAGGTGTTGGCTGTGTGATGATTGGTACTAGGGTCACAGTCAAAGAGGGTGGCAGCGAGGGCTTTGTCAGTGGTGGTGCTGTGGCATCCTCTAGATCCTGCTGTGTCTCCTCCTGCTCCTGCTCCTGCTCTTGCTGCTCCTCCTCCTCCTCTTCATCTTCCTCCATCTCCACCACAGGATCATCTTCTGCTTGCTCTGTTCCATCAGTTTCCGGCTTCACCATGAGATTCTTGCTCTCGCAGTCCGCACAACGCGTCGAATCCTGATCTGATGGCGGCCCCAAATGACAGATCATGCAGATGAACTGCGGATCATGGGCGTGCCTCCTGCGATGCTTCTTCAGATCACTAAACTCTCGGAAGCGACGCTCGCACAGATCACAAGGAAAGGGACGTTCGCCTGAAAAAGGAATTGGGGAAAATATAAGTAAATGGCAGCCTGTTTGGTGTACCTCCTCTCTCCCCTCTCACCCGTGTGTATCATCATGTGGCGCCGCAGATTATAGTTGGACTGCACCTTCTTTCCGCAGGCGTCGCACTCAAAAACATGCCGTCCCCGTCGGTTCACATAGGGACGACGTTTGCTCGATCTTCTGTGTTTCCTCTGCTTGGTTGGCCGCTGCTCCTTCTCTTCCTCATCCTCTGATTGCAGGACAATCACTTGTGCCGGCTCCTGTTCCTCCAATTCACAGCTGACGGCAGCCAATGGGAGTGTTTCCTCATCACTTGGGTGATCTGGCTCCTCTTCCGGCTCCTCCTCGCTGTCGCTTAGCTCGATCTCCGCCACAATGCGTTGCTCCACTCTGGGTATCAATTGAATATCGGGCGATGTGCGTTTCAGTGGCCATATTCCTGCCAAACTTCTGGCTGCACTGATGATCAAGCCTGAAGGTGGCTGCTCCTTCTGCTTCACCCCATCTTCATCCAGTACTATGATTTCCAGTCGATCCTTCTCTCTTTCCAGACGACGCTGCCTTTCCAGCTCCGCCTTCTGCTGCTGTCGCTCCTGCTCTTGCTGCTGCTGCTGCTGGCCAATTCTCAAAAGCAGCGCTTTAATCTTCACATCATCGATGGACACAAAGTTCTCCTCCGGCTCGTGGTACTCGTATCGAATGGCGTCCTGTGGCAGCATCTCGCAACTGGCATCGCAGCACGAGGAGGCACTGCAGCAGGAGAGGGGGCATTCAGTGCAGCATTCAATGCAGGACGCAGCAGCTGCTGCTCCAGATGAGCACGTTGATTTACTCAAAGCCAGCTCCATCGCCTGCAAAAGAAGTAAAAGAGGGATAGAAATAGTGACACACCAATTAACAGTTAATTAAAACACATGTGTGTATATATGTATATGCATCCCCCTCACTCTTGCTTATCCTTACCCGCAGAGGATCAGCATGAACAAAAGCTCAGCGCAGAAACAATTTCCAACTTTCTGTTTTTTGTTATTGTTGTGCTGCAGACTTTGCGAAAAATACTATTGGCGCTCGCTCCCGAGTTGCCCGTCTGTGCTGCTGGTGCCGTCTGCCTCTGACGCCGTGCGAGTGAAGAAGAAACTGGATTCGCGGCTTCGGTGCTCGGGCTCAGCAACCTCTCGACAAAACGCCACAAAAGTCGAGTTTCAGCAGTCGACGCTGGCAGCGACGCGACGCGACGCGACGCCAACGTGCCCTGCCCCCCTCTGTTGTCGTCCGGTACGTCTGCCTGGTCTTTGCTGGCTGTGAATCAGCGAAGCGCGAGAGCACGAGAGAAGGCAACTGCGCTGCAGGCTTTTTTCCAATACACGAGCGCAGCGTTGGCGTTGGCGTTGGCGTTGGACCTCCTCACCCTCTCTACTCCGCCGGCTCCTCCTCTCCTATCGCCGCCCTATCCACTGTGTTTGCGTGCGTTGGTTGCTAACTTGATTTTTCTTTAGGGGGCACTGCATGCCATGGCTGCCTGGCTGCTGCCTGGCCTGCCACACACACACAAAACGAAAAACAAAGAAAATGCGCACAGGGCGGACCGAAAGCGTGCCCCAAAGCAGCAACAACACTGAAACTGCAACTCTAACAGCCGTAGCAGAGCAGCAGCAGCAAACAAACTCACGATTTTCAAGATTGCTCTGAGAGTGGAGCCGAAGCCAGAGTGGCAGAGGGGGCTAGTGGTCGAGAGACAGGAGAGTCAAAGCCAGCGCACCCATCGACGGCAATCTTATTGACGTCCGAGCACCGTGCGCAATAATTTTGTTCTCTTCTCTTTATTTATTGTTGTTTTTTCTTCTCCATCTCCTCCTTTGTGCTTCCCTGTGCCTGTTGCTGTCTTTCTCCCTCCCACTATGAGCCCACTATCCTCCATAAGTGTTGAATAACATCGCCGAGAACGAACCCTATTTCGATGGAAGCTTCCACGTGGCTTTGGAATGGCGTGAGTTACATCGGAGGGAGCAGAGCTTGAATTGAATGGCGTGTGAAATGCTCATTTGTATGCCTCTAGCGTGGCGGCCCATTACCCATTACACACAGAGTTCTGGCCCGGATCTAGAGATCTCCTCCTCAATGCTTGGCTAGGCTTTCGATCCGGGAACGGGGGCATTGGAAATGGGAATGAGAATTGGATTGGATTGGCGATCGTGACTACAAGTACGAGCAACACCGCGCACACTTATTTATTTTTGCCTTTTCAGCTCTTGCTATAAAACTTGTTTATATCGTATCCCCACCGTCGAACACACACCATCCAGATCCACATCCACATCCACACACGCTGCAAACGCCCACTCGGTCCGGGCTGGGCCTGGGGGATTGCCACCGACAGTCATGAACATCCGTGTCGGCATTGCATTGCGTGTGCTTGTGTGACTGTGTGTGTCTGTGTGTGTGTGTGTGTGTTCGTGTGTTGCGGCTGCATATGTGTGTGTGTTTGGAGAGCAATGCTCGGCACGATAGTGCCCCCCAGGTGTTCGAACTTTTTCGCAATGTGTATCTGTATCTGTATCTGTATGTGTATCTGTATGTGGGAATGGATATATGAGCTGCTCGTTCACAGTGCTTGGCAGTCATCACGATATCACGATAATTGCTGCCAATCTGTTTTCGAAATTCCTTCACTTTCAATGTTCATTGGCATGGCATAGTCATTTATTATGTTTGCTTGTTGCACTGACAATGTAGCCTTACCTCAGAATCCTTTGAGGTCGGCGACATGTAAGAAATGAAATTGTTCTGGATATAGTGGGAGTTAACATTCCCAGGATGAGTGATTTCATAGTAAATAGTGTTAAAATTTAGCGCAATTTTGGTATGCAATTTAAACACATTTAAGTAGGTATTTCCATATGCTATTGATAAGCGTCCTACCAATATGTCTCCATAATTTCTTTATCGTAGAAACCTGGATACTTTTCCGATCTCCAAATTCATCGTATGTTTTGCAAAGTAGTACAAGCATTCTCAAAATATTCTAAAAATACAAACTGAATACTAGTGTTTACATTGAAATTATGTTTATTCCGATTATTGTTTGTACATAATTCCTATTATTTGCTTAAAAGAAAAAAACAGCTTTTGGTCTGTTTGAATAGAATACGATTAGCTTTTTTTATCAACCCAATATGAACTGAAACATATTAATGGAAAGCAACTGATTTCACTTATACAACAGGATATTGATTAAATATAACCATAGCTTAACTATTTGATTAGAGTTTGAGTTTAAGGAATTTAAATCTGAATTTAAAAACAGTCAAATACTTGTTTTCCTCTAATCTGAATGCTTGATTAAATGATTCTCGGGGCCCAACTTACTGTGTTCCTATTGATATGGCTGGCAAACAAATTCTACACTTAGTTAGAAATATGCAATATATATGTATGTTTCAATAAGTTCCACCTCCCATCTCTGTTTCATCATTCCACTGGATTAGATCATCGTAAATCAACCGAAAGATACATTTAAAAGATTCGTTTCCAAAACTGAGGTCACTTTTTGTGTGTCAGAAATGTATGTATGTAGCGATGGATAATATCTAGCAATCCCAAAAATATATCTGCAATTTGTTCAGCCAAAACAATCAATAAATATAAGCATACATCAAATACTATTCAAAAATGTTTAATAGGCATTTCCTTGCATCTGTGTATCCTTTCTAGATATAACATTTCCTGAAGCTACGTAAATTCGCTTACGATAATTACAAACCGAAACGTAAAACTAGAATTCTATATGCGTATCCATCAGTTTATAGCGGGAGACCCTCACATATATATGGATCTATACTATAATGTTCGATTACATAGCGGGAACATATTTGGCAAAATTGGGTTCTTGTTGGCTAACATCTAAGGGGGCGACTACTAACTAACACAACTAAATCGTCCATAATTGTATGGAATATATTACTAATGTACAAAAAAAAGAAAATTGAAAACAATTGGACAGTGATAGGGGAAAAACATATCATAACATATAGAAGAGAGAGGTTTAAGTTAATAACTCCTTTGCTCTATTGCCTAAACCTTAGGCTAAACATATTAAAACAAATGTTTGCTCTAAAGGAGAATGTGGTGGGGTATTTGATTGCTTGATGATATGCTTCTAATCGAAGGCGAAACAACTTAACTATGTACAACAAAACTATTAACTAATGTGGGATCAATGCAGGCTCGAGGGCATCTTGGTAAGTGCTTTATCTTAGATATCAATTAATTATCTTAATGTACAGTTTGGGGACAATCCGCAAAACGATTGCTTAAAGCTTTTGCTGCACATCTTTGCCGGCGGCTGCACCACCACCGCCGCCACCCTCATGATGGTTAACAATGTACTTCTTGGCCCCCGAGAGACCCTGCTTGTTGATGTAGAAGCTCTTTTGGGCCAGCGGCGAGTTGCCATCGTCCACCACCAGACGATTGAGAAAGGTGGCCGCCGTCTTGGCACCGCTGTCGCATGACGAGGACTCTATGCTGATGGTGGAACAGCCGCCGATCGATGAAGTTTCGCTCTTGGCATCGTCCATCAGGGTGGCATCGTCGGCCAGATCGTTGACCAGCACTTGGGTGCTCGACGACGCCGTGGAGAGTATGGAGGAGGTGCGACTGCGGCAAGAGTTGAGCTCACTCTCCGGTATGGAGATTCCCTCATCGATGCTCTGGCTCTGACTGCTGCCAGACAGGGCCAGACACATGGGCTCCAATGAGGAGCCAGCATCCATGCCCGTTCCACTGCTGCCACCAGCTCCGGGTGAGGCGGAACTGGGCGAGGGACAGCCGGAGCTGCTGCTGTTGTTGTTCTGGCCACCAGCTCCGACGGCATTGTTTGTGCACAGCTTGGAGATGAACAGCTTGGGGGTGATGCGTCCATCGTAGGTGCCCGAGTCGGGGCTGGGACACACAGAGGATGGGGATTGGCACACCGGCGACGAGCCGCGACTACTGTACGGGACGAGAGAGATATAATCAATGAAAGATCCGCAACTGGAAGGCGGTATTTGTGCTTACCTTTCTGTAAACATCTTCTTCATGGGCGACGGCGAGTAGACACTCCAGTTGCTGCCACCGGGATTGTCGTCCAGCTCGAACTTGCGCTTCACCGGTCCCAGCTGGGAGGGACGCATGGCGATGGGCGACATGGAGCGCCTGGTGGCAAAGGTACGCCGCGTGGGTGACGGCGAGTAGGGCAGACGCATGCCCGCCCGATTGCTGGTGGGACTGGGACTGGAGCAGCTGGTGCTGCCCGTCGGTGGCAGTGTGACCTGCAGCGGATTGGAGAGCTCTTCGGACTTGCACGACCAGTTCTCGGCCACCAGAGTGAGGTCTTCCCAGCTCTGGGAGATCTGTATTTCGCGGTGCACTTCCCGCTCGTGGTTCACCTCGCGGCTGTTCAGGTCGGCGCACTCCTCCTGTCGCAGCTGGGAGACGCGCGGCGTCAGGCACAGTGCGGCCCCGTTTGCCGCCCCGTTGGCGGTGGACATCGGACTGTAGCTGGCCGAGTAGCGGCGGGCACGTGGTGCAAAGATGTTGAACACCGGCGCTGGCGACACTTCGCGGGAATTTGGCTGCGATCGGATGTGCATGCTCTTGCCAAAATAATCGATGGTTGAGTTGCATTTGGAGGCGTAGTGCTCCTGCTGCTGGTGCTGCGGTGGGTTCTTCTTTGGCGTCTGCTCGTGCTCCTTGGCCGCGGCGGCAGCAGCTGCGGCTGCGCGTGTGGTCATCGGTGCGTGTGGCGAGGGTCGCCCGGAGGGTGTGCGGATTATTGGCACACTGAGGCAGCGTTTTAGGGTCTTCGAGCTGCTGGGCGGCGGCGGATCAAGGGTGTCCATGGCCACGGGCATTGCCGTTTTGGCCTGCTCCTCGCTGCTGGCTTTCGTCTCCGTTTCCATTCCGTTGCACTCTTCGAAATCCAAGTCTAAAAATATAATAGAGAGGCAAAAATGTTTTATTTTCGGCTTGTGGGTATTTCTGGTGCCAGCGGCCTGGGGCGAGGGTTTCGTTTGGGTTTCGTTGACGATCGCTCGACTATTTTCCTCTTCGTCTCTTCTTGTTCGTTTCGTTTTTTTTTTTTTGGTTTTTTTTTGTAATTTTCTCTATATTTTTGCACACACATTGTTCTCGCTGGCTCCACTTTGGTCACAGCTGATGCGAGAGGCCCCCCTCGTTCTGCGGACAATATCCAACAATATTCACCAATTTAATTTATATTTCAGTTTCGGTCTGGCAGGATTTTTGAGTGGCCGCTGCCTGCAGCCCTCTGCCGGCGTCGCTGCCGTCGTTGGCGACTTCAGCTGCCTGCCAATTTTTTCTACCACAAAATGCGTGCCCAGCGAGGCACTTTTTTGCTTCGTTTTTTTGCGCCTTATTCGTTGCGTGCGCTGGCAAATGTGGCCAAAATTAGTTTGTCCAGAGTGTGGGGCACACTTTGGTCTAAACTCTTGTGATCCCACACTGTGTCTAAAGGGTTTATTTTACTTACAAAATTGTGTCCTGTGATTATAATTTTTAGCTACCCGTTTAGTTTTTTTCTAGTGTTGTATAGCGCCAGTGCTGCATGGAGTGGGCACACGTTCAAGCTGAATGGCATTTGAGGCTTGGTAACAAATATCTGTCAAAAATCGTTGAATTGTTATGAGAATCTATTTGACAGCAAATGGTAATGCTGTCAAATATGATTTTCTATTTTATGGAAACAATTTATAATGGGTAAGCAATCGCTTTTGGCTTTTACACGCTGCGGCAGCGAGCTCGGTATTTCTTTGCTTAATATATTTGTGTTCATGCAGCTCTGGGTTTTGTTGTTGCCCAGCACTGAGCGCGCGCGCATTTGAAATACACTCGCTGCTGCCGCCCGACCCAAAAAGAAAACTTTGTATAGACACATCTTTTATTAATTTATTACGCGAAAACTAAAATACAAAATGTCGTAAAGGAAAACAATCGTGTTTAAAAGCTTCAATTTTAGTTTTGGTTTTTTGCTTTTGTTGTATGTTTGTTTTACTATGGACTATGGGATTGGCATTTGTTTTAGTTAACAAAAATCACATGAAATTATAACAGTCGATCTCCATAATTCAGACTAATTGAATGTGTAAATCATAGTACATGAAATTCAAGAAATTTAACATAATATTTAACACTAAAATGGTACCTAAAAATCGTATTCTTTTTTGTTGAAAAATTGTTCTACAAGCTAAAATTACATTTTTAAGCTAATGTTTTGTTTGCTTTATGCGTTTGTCTAGATCTCATTTATCTTCTTTATGGATGGTTTACAATTGAGTTCGTTTAATTACTTGACAGATTTTGAATGTTCTTCAATGGCGAAAAGTTTTCAATGAGATTTTTTGTTGTGTGTTTGTTGCATGTAATTTATAAATGTTGAGTTGGCAAACGCAAGGGCATCTGAGCGAATGTTCCGATGTGGTCCTTAACCATCGGACAAACTGGGCGTGACCCAGCCGTACTTCTCGTGTGTCTTCACCAGCGAGCGGAACGACTCCTCTGCCTGACGGCTACACGAGAAAAAAAGAGAGAAATCAATCGATTTTAGTTTTGAATGATTTTTATGAACAACTCCCCAGTGCCGACTCACCGACTAAACTCCTTTGTACATTTTGGTCTACGCATAATACGACCCTGACCCTTGACCACGCTGGCAGAGAACTGCATGATGACGGCCTCCACGGTGTAGGCACTGGCCCAGCCACGTGGCGTGAGTAGCTCCATGCAAATGGCACCGCCCTCCATCACATAACCCTTCTCGATGCGCGGCTCCACCACACGCATAAAGGGCGGCGCGAATGGGAAGTTGTCGGGAAAGCTCAAGTGCAGCAGGATGTTGGAAACATTCAGCTCCATCATGTCACGGGCCAGCGGCGAATCCGGATCAATCACATGCAGTCGTACATGCCACTCAAAGAGGCTATCATTGACTAGTTCCACCTGCAACAAAAGGAGACAAAAAGTTAGCTAACATCTATTTAAAGCAGCAAGCATTTACCGTGAACACAGCATCGGGCTTCAGTTGCAGCCGCTCCATTTCATGGTATTCCTTCATGAGGCGACGCGATCGAATGCTCTGATCGGCGGCCACCGGCTGACGCCCGGCCGTCGGCGTCACTCTGGAATCGCAAGAACAGTTGGGTTTCATTTTAGACATAGTTCGAAATTAGTTTTATCAACAATTTGTTTAAATATTTGACTGACTTATGATCCTGTCGTCGACGTTTGCCTGGCGATTCGCACAAAGCCTGCTCGCCTGCCATTCGCACTACTGGATTTTTGTTGGAGTTTGTTGTTCCAGCTGCAGCTGCTCCGCCTGCTCCGCCGGCTGGTCCAGTTCCTGAGCCTCCCGCAGCTGTTGAGGTGGCTGCCTCGTTGTTGTTATTATTATTGTTGTTGTTAATATTGCTGCCGGTGGCGGCTCCATCAACTTTATCATTGTTGTTTATGTTATTGTTATTATTATTATTATTGTTGTTGTTGTTGTTGCTGGATTTATGGAAGATTTTGCGAAATGCAGTGACAACTCTCTCCTTGGAACGCGATGACATTTTAGCAATGTTTTTCTTGTTTGTTGTTTTTTGGTCTCCCCCCTGTTCGTGGTTTTTGCCTGGTTCTTGTTGAGCGGTGGATTTTGTTTCCCAGTTAACAATTATCGTGTGCGTGTATGTGTGGGCGTCGTTTTCTCAGTCTTTTTTAAACATTTGTCTTTGTGGGTTGTGCAATGATTGTTATTATTTTATGGTGGTTTGGCGTTGAGTTAATGCTGAAAAGTAGAGACAAAAAATGTAGACTTTAGAGCGGTGGTTGTATGAAATTGTTGTAACAGAGGGCAGGAGAATGAGGTTGGTAGCTTGTGGAAGGTAAGTGGATTCTATATGAATTTATGGTTCTATTCCATGCTACAAAAAGGTTTGAAACTTCAGCTTCTTAGCAAAATTCCTGGAACTGACGAAAAACTCTTTTAAAAAGTTTCTTAAGTTCATTTTGAATGTTCATTTCATGTGCCCTCTCCCTGTCTGTGCTTTTAGCTCCTTATTCTATCATAAATACCAAAAAATCAAGGATGTTTTATGGTCTCAGACTCCCTCCTATCGGTTTTCAACTTTTGGTTTAAAGTGTATGGGTGCACAAAAATTAGCATATCTTAAGAGTATATTGTCAAGGGTGCCATTACTTGGAATTTGATGCCCTAGAAGCAAATTTTCATATATTAGTGGTCTGCTATCTGCGTCGCCTAGAACCGCATTTTGTGACCTTGAAATAGACGCATTTTCCCAACCACAAAATATAGCCCGGCCAGCAGATACTTTTGGATGTCTAGAGCAGCACAAAACACATCCTTGGAAAGCATTTTGAAGCAACAAAATATGTTAAATACCAAGCTCCAAGCGCCAACAAAACAACTCGTAAAGAAACTCTGAGGCAAAGGGACGACGACGACGACATTAAAAAACTTATTACGTCGCAGCCAGGCAGCCAAACCCGAGGAGCGGCAACTGGAAGAAGAGTAGGGCGGATCTTCGGATGAGAATGAGGATGAGGAGGAACTGTGCTGTGCAAGAGCCAAAACCCTCGAGGCGCGGCACACACACACCCCAACAGTTTTATGGGCAAAGTTTACACAGCCTCTGGAGAGGCTGCTGCTTGCTGCTGCCTGCTGTGTGCCAAAGATACCGAAATGGAGACACCTACGTCCACACCCAAGCCCCAGACCCTTTTAGAGGTGTTTTCGAGGTGTTTGACCATGGTCTCTCCGCCAAATTGTTTGTCTTGCGCATAATTAGCTCTAGTCTCATGTCCCCCACTGCCCACTGCACTGGGATTGCTTGGGTTGGACTTTGGCCAAGCGCATTGCTGCGGGTGTGACTGAGGTACTGTGCATTATACTTCTTATTGTTATAAATAATAGCAGATAATTGTGAGCCAAAAATAACAGCTACATGAGTCCAAAGGAAAGGAGTTGGTGTGCCAAAGATGGATGAGTTTTAGATATAGTTTTGCCCAGAGCTTGCCTTTGTTCTCTGCTCATTTTGTATTCCCAACCACAGGAATTGAGAAACATTCCCCATTAAGCTACAGATTTTTGCGCCTTTGGCTCGGTTCTTGCCGCATCTTTTATTCATATCACATCGCAAATAGTAGACACATAGTTCGCTCCCTCTGTGGCAGCTTGTTAGGCTTCACAAATTATGAATGATTGATTGATTAATAGACCCTGGAAGATGTGTTCATTTGACCCCAACCCAACCTCATTAAGAGTTCATTAAAGTTCGAGCTGATACCCCATTCGTTTCGTTTCTTTCTTTCTCTTAGTTATGGTACACTTCCGTGCAACTAAAAGTATTTTTAGACAAACTTTTTTGCACTTTTGCTTTCAGCACTGGGGAAAAACTGGACTGCAGCGATCCGAAACAAAGGCGCCGCCAGACGAAAGGCGAAAGCCAGACCAAAACAAGTTACAGCAGAAAATCAGACAACAAGAGAGACCGGGAGAGAGAGAGAGAGAGAAAAGTTGTCTGCTTGGCTCTCCAATTGAACGAAATAAATGTCAAGAATGGTTGACATATTTCTCCATCCACCCACAGGGTAGGCGGAGCTGTTGACGGGCCCTTGAAATACGAGTATTTATATAGATTGGGCGACAAATTGACTGCGAGGGTTGCAAATTACAGTACAAACACACACCAAATACGAGATATATCCATACATACATATCTTATCTGGCGCCAGTAAAATCAATATAGTCCCCACAATTCCATTCCCGCACTGACCTATCCCGGACACAGCACAGATACTCAGATACGTGTTTAATAATAGCCTTTGGCTTGGGTTCGCCAGCGTTGAATCGATGTTATTTGCAGATCCAAATATAGATATCTATATATATATACATACATATGTACATATGTATGTATGTATTTAGCTGCTGGCTCCCTCTCGCTCTCTCTCTGCCCAGTGTCGTGAAGTCAGGTGGCGGGCAGCGGCAGTTTTTATTGCCTGTGGGAGCGTGGGTTAAATGAGTTTTTAATTGAATTTTCCATTGCACCATCCATACTCGGAATGGTCTTCCATTTCAAGTCGATGCTTTATCTTGCCACGCGTTAAGTGTGAAATATTTACAGTCTATTGGTGGAGCCCTACCACCATTTGGCTGGCACGTTTTTATCGTTAAACAGCTCCCTGGTTGGTGCCTCGGGGAAGAAGAAAAAAATTGACAATTAAAGAGGGAAACTGTCTCAATTTAGTGTTATGTTCGATACAGTTACGACGTTGGGTGGTTAAGCATTTCCTTTTTGTTACTTTCATTCGCAGAAGCTCGTTTGGCTTCAACTAAATACGTTTGGTCGTAGTACAACACAATACAAATAAACGGTATTTTCAGGTACAAGTTGTAACATGTTCT